CCATTTCACATAACCTACCTAGCCTCTGCCCTGCGTTGCTGATCTCTTAGCGGATTTGGAGATGACTGCTCACACGGCAGTCTTTCTCTGCAGTGCCTGCGTGTCTGCCTAGGTGATAAGTTCTATGGTGAATTATTCTTTTCCTTACCATTATTTACATAATTCTTTTATTTCCTTACGCAAAATGCCGTCCTCATTGCTTTCAGAATGCTGTTGTGAATTTCTGACATGCAGTGGTTTTTCAGGTAGCCCTGGAGATGGGCTCAGGACGTCGTGATTGTAGCAGCGACATAGCGAGCCCGCAGGATGACCCTGTCAAAAATGACTCTCTCATTGGAATCCTTCCCCTTGAATTGAATAAGACCTCCGCCAAATAATGTCATGATCTCTTGACTGACTTTTAAGGCTTGTCCGTCCATATAGCCAACCCTGACTGTCGTAGACGCAGTTGTAGCCCCTCTGAGATGTATTGATATCGAATCGCTCGGGTGCCATACTACAGAGCTGGTCGAACGCAAACTTTCTCATGAGACATCCAAAAAGCGTGGAGCCCAAGACACAAGGTCCAGTATCCTGTGCAGCGGGCACTTCTGTGGATATCGCTCATGTCCGAGCCACGTTTGAGAGGCCACATCGGCGGATTGATTGCATTCGAGTCCTCCCAGCACTAATGTCTGGATTCAGTCAACTTGATATTCTTGACGAGTCTTTGTCTTGGTTAATAAACCCGATATCTTAGTTGCGCTCTATAGTGGACCGTTGAAAAGGATTGTTAGGCGGTGCCAAAGTTTGGCTTCTAGCTGTTTTGCCCCTACGGATTTGAAAAGATTAATAGGTTCTGAACGACATACTCGAGCCTTATGAAAAGTCTAGTTTTTTTAAGTCTAAGGGTCACCAGTTCCACCTGGTCAGCAAAAGTGATTTCCTGCTAGAAAGGCACTGGTCGAAAAGTCCTTGACTGCCGCCTCAATCTTGGCTATAACTTCTAAAACATGCTTTCCGAAAGTCGGGAAGACCAAGGTACATAATGCAGAATTTCATTTTCGGCACGTGGTCAACACATGCGCGGTGTTCATATGTGAGTGTTGGTGTGCGAAAAGACTGTTCGGGTTGGAATGATGCCTGCAAGATGAGATTAATCGTTAGTTGCGATACAGATTTTATTGCTTGCCTTTTGGTTTCCGCAACTCATGACCCTGGAAGAGTATACGAACACAACAATTCTTTTCGGAAATGGGTATACAGCCCTAAAATGGTCTGGCGCGCTGTGCCAAGGTGCGTGCTTGGAGATGTCACTGGCGCTCAATGCATATGATGCCACTTACTACGGGAGATATTGGCAGCTCATGATCATATCGATAATGTTATATTTATCAACGGGGAGTGGTGGTAACTGGAACCTGTGGATACCCATGTATTTTCTTATACGCCCAAATGCGCATGCGCTGTGCAGTGCTGTGTCCGCGGCCCGACTACCCTTCATCCATCCTGCTACGTCTGTTTGCTGCGTCGAGCAGAAGCTTGAACCAGTGTACTCCTGCAAGCGCTCTAGATGCCGCTTTAACATCTCCCATAACTTTTCGAACTTTTGAGCGGGGTCTCCGCGGCGGATGATAGGAATCCTTCGCCGTTGGCTAACCTGCGCCGTTGGAACGGCCGATCCGTTCCTTTGGAGGACGAATCCTTCGCTCGAGGGAGGGTAAGCCGAAGAGCACCGGTTCTGCATTAGCATCGGACTTGGCGTTATTGACCTATCATGACTTGGCTTCCCAATGGTAAGGCAGAAAAGGGAGCCTCAAAACAAGGCAATGATCTCCTGTATTCGATCAATCTGACATCTTAGTTACTTTTATTCAATTCACTTGAGCTATATGTGCAGGAGTAGCTTTCTCAACATGCTAACAAATGGGTAAGGCGTAGAGGTCTTTGATGTTATCGTCGTCGGTGCTGGTGAGCGGACGGTTTCCGATATTTATTCTCTACCGTTAGCTTGCTGATAGTTTACACACGTTAGTATAGTTTAATGGCGGCTCATACATACTTGGAGCTGGCTTCTGAGACAAATCTCACCATTGTCGATGACAGCAGCACAATAAGTGGGGTCTGGTCTAAGGAGCGAATTTATCCCAGCCTGTTTGCTCAGATCAGCCACCCATTGTTCGAATACTCCTTCTGCCCGATGTCCAAAGATGACATCTCGCCTGATCGCTTCGTCTCCGGAAAGACGATACACAATTACTTTGACAGTTTCGCCAGAGATCACAACCTACTGCCTAGGCTCCGCTTCCGGACTCGCGTGACCAGGGTCGCAAGGCGGCCAGCGGCCTCGGAAGGATGGATCCTCGATATCAAAGGTGGAAAATACCTGATATGCGACAAGCTCATCTATACTACAGGAGCTGATTCTAGTCCTATTAGTCCCAAACGGCCCAGAGACAACTTCTAGAAGCCCGTAATCCACTCGCTTGAGCTTGGATCGTACTAAGAGTATATTTCGAGCAATGTGTAGAGAGCTACTATCGTTGGTCGTTCTAAGTCATTATACGACGCTGTTGACTACCTGCTATGCGAGGTTAAGAAGGTTAACTAGGTCATGCGTAATGGGCTATCCGGCCCGTCCAGCCTTTATGCCCCGACGTTATTGGGGCTATGGAATATTGCCGACTATATCTTAACTCGGTTCGCCTCAAGCTTTAGTCTATGCATCATGTCAACATCTGGAATGCCTTACAGTTCTTTCTAACGAAATGCCCTCGGACGTGTGTTGATAAATATCTATTAGAGAATCTCTAACTACCTGTCCGTATCACATGCAGAATATTGGAAGATGCCGAATGCTGAGAAGTTTCGGCCGAGACTATATAGCGATGGACGAGTATTGTGGTATCGAAATCTGAGACTTAGCTGACGAACCCGTCATTCAGAGTATGCTGGGGAAGCGGCGGTATTGGTATTGCTACCGCCCCTGATTTTTGGAAAGTCTTTCATAGAGGCGATGTTACGATTTATTCGACGGAAATTGAGTGTCTATCGTATTAAGATGTTGTTAACTTGAAGAACGGATACTCTGTAGCAACTGATATTGTGATTCATTGCACCGGATTTGATAAGCAAGGGATACGATACTTTTGATCACGAGCTCCTTACGGAGCTCGGTTTATAGTACGACACTAAGGTGTTCTCACGGTGGATAGTGCTAGACGAAAAGGCTGAAAGGGCCGTTGACGAGCTTCTTCCGTATCTTAAAACTGTCCCGGAATAATATAACGACGTGAAAGCTACTGGAATGGCGGAATAAGGGTCTAATAGACGTTTTCGCCGTCTGGTCGTACCTGCGTTGGCGGCACGGGACGAACGATCAATACTCTTTCTTGGGTATATTTATTCGGCGTTTATACCACCGGCGGCCGAACTCTAAGCGTTTTGGGGAGTTTCTTGGATGTTCGGGTGTCGAGATCTCCCTTCCAGGGATGAAACGGAGTTTGAAGCTGCGACTTTCAATGCGTGGGCGAGGAAGAGATACCTCGAGTAGGGCAGGAAACACTCTTATTTCATGTACGATTATATCCCGGTATGCTATCAATTTCTTCTAGAGCTTGTCAATACCTTAGGCTAATATCGAGTGTTTAGTATATCGACATAGTGATGAAGGACTTGGTTCTTAATCCCTTTCGCAAAAGCAGTGTCTTTGAGGAGTAGTTTGTTAGATATAAGCTAAGCGATTGTTCTACCATCCTAGATGAGTACCGAAAAGTTCTGTAGGAGAGAATGGAACGAGAAGAGACGAATGGATTCGCGAAAGGGGTCGCAAAAGGGCTCCCGACTGGCACTACAAAGGTGAACGAGCACTCTACAGCGGCTTGATAAGGACATTAGCTTAAGACTTGACGTCTAAGGTAAGGTACCTTATATCACATAGAATTGAAAATAATGGCTTTCTATATGCCAATTTGGATCATAAATACTCTCGTAGTCAAGTACAGCTACTTAATTAGAGCTTTCCACGTTACGTCTTTGATTCATATTTCTAAAGTACCTTAGCCAAGCCAATGATATTGTATCAGTGCACGCCTCCCAGTAACTTTCGGAATCGATCATATGCCAAGTCTACTTCCTAAGGCAAGGCCAATGAGAGGTCAAGTACACTACGCCGTACTTTCTCAATTAATTTTAACTGAGATGATCACCGTTAGGTACAAACAAACGGTGATTAGCCCACTTAGCCAATCGGATACCTTCCTCGGTCGAAGACGGACTAGCGCGGCAGAGCTATAATGTGTCAGCGAATGAAAACTCGCCATCAATCAAAACGGACCCGAGTCTTGAGTCCTTTCTATGGCCAGTGCATCAAGTGGGTCTCCTTAAGCGTCCGTCTCCGTCCCGCGTCCGTCCTCCGTGTTGTTCACCAGGTCTCGGGGGAGTGTCGTATAATTGGGCAGGTCCTTCTTCTCGAACTCCGCAAATTCACACCCTCCATTTTGCTGGGCCTCGTGCGCTCTGCATTCAATCAAGCCAGCCCGCTTCTCTACACCCATCGAAAAATACGACGCAGATTTCACACTTCTATCTACAAGGCCTCCGAACATTCCCCAATATGAACAACGAGCTCGCGTTATCGGCTCCAAACGGGGCAAATGCCGAGAAGGATGCAGGCGCAACAAATTTGAGTACCTTACCGACGGATACCCCGAACACTCTGGCAACGGCAACAATGAAGGCACCTCAATTGACAAGACCAGTCCTCGTAACCTTCATGGATGGAAGGTAAGCAAGCCCCCACGACAATCACAACTGGGATACCGATCCTGTGCTTGCACTCAAGCTACTATGTCCGGGTTTTACTCACCCAGTGGGCCGTTGCCTACGCTGGCATGCTCTCCACGACTCTCCTGTTTGCTCTCGACAACAAATTCGTCCCCAACATCCAGCCAGCCATCATCAACGACTTTGGCCACCTCTAGCCTCTATCATGGATCGGCACTGGCTTCGCCCTGGGTACCATGTTCGTCCTGCTCTGGGGCAAGGTCCACGGAGTCTTCAACATCAAGTGGGTCTACATCTTCAATATCTTTCTGTTTGAGGCAGGCAGCGCGCTCTGCGGCGCTGCCCCTAATAGCGAGGCCCTCATCATTGATCGTGTCATCGCCGGTGTCGGTGGCTCAGGCATGTACTCGGGTACTCTGACCTACGTCTCGGTCCTGTCCAACGAACAGGAGAAGCCTGCATATCGTGCTGGAAGTACCGTCATTTGGGGTGTCAGTAGCGTTCTCGGTCCTGTGATAAGCATGCGAAGCCCGTCACTGCCTTCACAGGCAATTGCTGACCTCTGTTGTCTTTCCTAGGTAGGCGGTGCCTTTGCAGCGAGCAGTGCCCCCTGGAGGTGGGTAAGAAAGAAAATCATCCTGATCACCTGCTGGGACGGTAAAACATGCTTACTGGCCAACATTCAGAGATTTTACGTTAACCTGCCTGTCGGCGCTGCATTCGCTCCAGCCTACTTCCTCCTCTTTCCAAGTGTCGACCCTCACCCCTCCAACTGAGTGTGGTGTGCTCCGTTCCGCTGCTCGTAAGTCGAGATGGCGCAGTTGGAATCGCGCAATATATATTAACACATTCGGCAGAAAGCTAAGCTCGGCGGTGGCAAGAAGTCAGAAGTGCTGGTAGCGGCGTAGGATGAAGCCAGAATCACGGTGCGCTTGGAGAGAGTCATATCACAATGCTGGCCTCCTAGGAGAGGCGATGAAGTTTTGAAGGTCCAAGGATCATCACGTTGAGATTGTAGGAAGGTGTCAGGCCTCGCCGGTTAAGGGATAGCTTCAGGGGGCATGAGGAGGGGGACCAAGCAACAAAGGAGCAGCTCAGGCATATATAGAGCGCTGGGAGTACACCCCGAGGAAAGGGCAGATTTCAGCATTCATCTTCTAGACCCTAACAGCAGTTGGCCTCTGTGAGCTTCTTCCCTGTGTCGTACACTTATTGACTGAAGGCTCACGGTCCCAAGCTCTTGGAGAAAGATCTCTTTTTGTGCAAGATACAAAATGAAGATACATGCAAATGCAACATGTAAACCATCATCATTTATATTAACGCCGTGCATACATTCAATAACGGGCTCCCTACATGTGAGCTCTATAACCCAAGTATCTAAGCCTTCTATACACACTGCTTGAGAACTGATTCCTAGATTGAGTAAACTCATAAAATCAGCATCATTTACCGGATCTGGGAATACAAGCAAGTGATATCACTTTCGGTTGTAACATGGATGTAACGGTTGCAAACTCATGCTATCATCAAATTTTGATAATTCAAATAGCTGCGAAGTACCATTCTCCATTCCAACGATTTGCCATATTTCCCTACCAAAACCAGGTATCGACTGTCTGGAGAAAACAATATGAAGGACACGAATAGCCAACTACAAAGCAACTAAAACTGCTAGCCCCTGCGGGAAGACAGACGCAAAGCCCCTGTTCAAGTCACTCCACGAAGGTCCACTATTGAGTCTTTCATCTTCTTCTCGAGCTTCCCTCTCCTTTACAGCAGATAGTGTGTCCTGCCACCCTAGAATCCCCCTCTTCTCATCAAAGTCCACATAAGTAAGCTTTGGCGCCATAACACACAATCCAGCAATATTCTTTGCAAGAGTGTCAAGGCCCACGATGGGCGTCAGCCATCGCTGCACAAAGTAGGCCTTCCAACCGTCATAAGCCTGTTGCCTCGTGAGATCACCCACGACCTTCACAATGACCCAAGCATGGTCGACACGAGCGTTTTGATGCTTATCCCGCATCGCATCGCGCAGCTCAAAATCACTCGGGTTTTTATGGGAGTGCGTGCCGAGAAGGGCATTAATTGTATTTGCGAGTGTAACGGCGTCTTCCATTGCTGTATTGCCACCGAGAGCCGAGTTTGAAGTAACCTTTGTCATGAGAACATGACGTATCAGCCCCGAGTACGAAAGACATACAATCATGCACATCAGATGGCAATCTTACCTTATGGACAGCATCTCGAGCCAAGACAATTCTCCCAAAAAACAGTTCTCCAGTACGCCTTCCTCGAGGGAAATTACTTGTGCCTTGAGGCGCCTCTTTCACAACTCTCCAAAGACAACGGTCTCCGTGACAGAGTACTAAGAGATCTTGCTGACCAGAGCCTTCGTATCAGATTCGGTGAATCGCCGACGTGTGGGCCAGGTGCAGTGCTGTTCCACGGGCAACTTGTTGTGTACAATGATCTATATCCACTTCGGCTGGCACAGGAGCAGGAAAGAGGACTTGTCGTTTGAGGTAACTTCCATGTTGTAGAAACCCACACCAGGTACGGGAGACCATGCCATGACGATGGCATTGTACTGGGTTACCATTGCTTTGTAGGCAAGTTGTTAGCTGCCTTTGGTTTGTTGATGGTCAAGAAAGAGCTTTTTATCTACCTCGCTTCTCTTCAACTGTAATCATGCCGGGATTGGCCGCGTTTGCCTTGTCCCACATGATTTCGCGAACCTTGGAATGAACACCGTCTGCACCAACCACTACGTCCCTAACGAATTCACGCCCATCTGCCAGTATGACGCGAGTCTTGGAACTTTCTTCAATAATCTCCTCAACGCGTGCTTTCTCGCGTACTTTAGAACGATCTGGCAGCCTTTCATACAATTTGCGTAAAAAAACCTACCGATCCAGGGTCCTAGTATCATAGCCGGCGCTATATCTCGAAATCACCATGTCTTACTATAGCCAGTTTGTCTTCCGCGTCATCGGATACCTAGCGACTCGCCTTGATTCAACCGCTTCTCGTGTTTGCACCCGCGCGGAGTGGAAATGGGGGCAGTAGCCTGCGCCATGGATGCATTGCACTCTTCCAGGTGGCCCCCTTATTGGCCATGGCGTTCCATCTCAGCCTTATGTCAATTTTCCCTCCCAAATATACAGGCACAACGTAGTCATCTGCGAAAGAAGCAAGAAAGTGGGTAGTCGCATCCCACATACTTGCCGGTGTCGTCGCTTCAGCCGTGCACTTCTATACCTCGGTCGGCTCGCTACTCACACGAGACATCGACGCATCGATCCTCAGGCTGTTCCTTCCGGCGCGAGGCTTTGAAGACTCATACGAGTCCATGATCAAAAAGGAGGTTACATCTGTCGAGTACACTGCCCCTGGAGAATCTTCACCTGTTCTCGCAGGGGGATTGGATTGTTCTATGTCTCACCACTATTGTGTTTGCGCATCTACTTCTCTCGCGAAAGGATGGGGTTTCAAATGTTGGAAAAATGAAAGTGGAAGGGACGGTGTCTCCGAACGAGTTTCAGGAACTGATTTATCTCACTGTGGCGACTGTAGTCTTAGGGCCAGGGGCGGCGGGGTCATTTGCGTTGGCTATTTGAGAGGCTAGAATATGAATATTATTAACTGTCAAAATTGTCCGATAGGTTCTGGAACCTTCAAGTCCTTAATGAAACCCATCGCTAGTCTAGATCGCTGAGCACCAATCCTACGTCATCGGCAATATCCAAACCTCGGTCGCAGAGATGAGCCATGACTACCTATTCCTTCGTCCAACAGAGTAGGTCAGAAGTTGGAGATTCACTTCAAGGCTCCAAACGGGGAATGGACGCTCTTTAGTATGGCGTTACCCATAGAAACACGTCAGATGACATCCCCAAGTACTGCTTAGCTTGAAAGCTTCGCTCTACAACTGTCCTGAGAAAATCACTGGTAGTGAGGCTGACGAATGGCGCCTCGAGAATAGCCATGTTGGATGCGTCTCATTCCCGCTCGGTCTTAGGCGTCAGTGATTGTTTTGTTAGCCGCTTTACAAATCAAATATTTTCGTTCCACTTGAGAAATAAACAAAAGGGCTTCGGGATGGCAAGCCAAATTTTCTATATGTTAGTTCTTGGACTAAACCTTTCGCCCGCCCGGACAAGTACTCATTATATCATATGATACTTCTTTCTGAACTAAAATCTTAGATACTAAATAAATTACGACGCTAAAAAGGTAAATCAAGTTTTGTTTAATCCTTTTATCTATAATAGCTTTCTAACTAAAGTAAATAATATTGAAGTAATATTAATTTATCTGTAAATAATAGAGCATATTATAGTTGATCTGTCAAGAAGTTATTGTTCAAAAAGAACTTGAAACCTATCGATAAACTCATATTATAAATAATAAAATAAAAGAGGCAAATGATTGAAAATATCTAGGGACAGTAACAGCCACGAAGACTTCTACATTCAGACAAAGTAATCCCTCTATAACTAATTTAATAGAATGTAGCCATCAGCTTTTAGAGCTATAAGTTTCTAAAAGGAATGCCGCCGCTTTCTCTGCCACTGCATAGACTGTGCTTAGTATGTTCCCTCGCGGTATGATCGGGAAAATACTAGCATCGCACACACGAACGTTCGTTGTGCCACGTAAGAGAAGCTCCCCATCTACAACACCGCCTTCAAAGTCTTCCTTCATCATTGCGCATGTGCCACAGAGGTGGTAATTTGTAGCACCAAAACTTCGAATATTCTCCTTGATCTCTGCCAAAGTCTGAGGTGCCGCTGCTGTTGGGAGACGGTTGCCATCCGTTCTCAACAAGCCACTGAGCGCGTCCCTAGCCAACAATTTATCAATTTGCTGAACATGACGCGCGAGGATTTCAATGTCGAGGGGATTCGAGAGATAAGCGCAGTCTATTTTCGGCTGATCATGCCAATCCGCAGTCTCGACGTGACAAGATCCTCGACTATAGGGGTGAGCCAGCATAGCTACTATGGTCATGTAGTTACCTGGGGCTGGGTTGGCGCGGCTGGTGTATCTTTGCACCCGTATCATGAATACGGTTGCGCTCGCCTCATGGTCGTCGAGGATCATCCGATTGATGAATTCGTGATGTATCTTGGTAGCTTCATTGCCGACGTGAGGTGAAAGTTGGAGAAGCTCCCTTAGCTCTTTCTCTTCGTTTTGCGAATTGAAGAGCTGCAGAGGCCAATGAGCGAAACTGTACGCCGCCCCTTCCGCCAGAGGCCCAGTTCTTTTCTTGTCATACTCTGCGCGATGAGCTGCAGGAACTTTGGGGTCTCTGAAGTTGACGTCGATGGTTTCAATTTCGGGCTTCACCTCGACACTTGGTCCAAAGTTGAGATGGTCTTGAAGATTTTCTGAGATGCTGCAGTCAGCATGAGAGACAACAGAACATTGAATGCTCCTTGTCAATGTATGCATGCACTTACCTCCAACACCAGGCAAGTTCACTAAACATTGAATACCCAAAGGCTCCAGAATCTGTTGATCACCGATTCCGGACCGCTCAAGAATCTTGGGGCTACCTAGGGCGCCTGCGCAGATGATGACTTCCTTATTTGCTCTGACTAGCGATGATTTGTGCGCCTTCTCATAGATTACGCCAATCGCACATAACTTTCCTTCATCGGTGTGAGAATCACCCCCAAATACGATCTTCTCGACCTCTGCTCCGGAGATGACGACAAGATTCTTCCGGTCCAAAGTCGGTTGGAGGTAAGCGTTCCCTGCGAAGCTTCTCACGCCTTGGCCAGCGCGGCTATCGATTGCATTGGTGGTTGTGAAACCCCCAAGCGCTTCGCCAGATGGGCCATCATGATCAGATCTTGCGCCCAAGTCGTCGAATACCTCTTCCCAGGCATTCTGTAGGGCATTCAGCTCTTTCGGATAAGATGCTTGTATAGGCCCTTGGCTTTGACGGTCCTGATTTGACATGTCTTGAACCTGCTCTGTATGAAATGCGCGGTAGTAGTCTTTGATCTCCTCCCAGCTCCATCGCTCATCTCCCGATATTTCGGCCCATGCCTCATGCATAGCTTTGTTTGGGAACACTAGACTATGGGAGTTGATTCCACTGCTTCCTCCAAGCATCTTGCCTCTTGTATGCTGGAAGACACGTCCGTTCATGCCAATCTGCGGTGAGGATTCTGAGCACCAATCATAGTTCGGATCTCCAAACATTCGTCGACTCAGCAAGGGTGTCGTGACCTTTTCTTCGTTGATGTTGTTGCTTCCAGCCTCCAGTAGGAGGACTTTTAAGTCTTGCCGAACGGAGAGTCGGGAGGCAAGAACGCATCCGGCTGTGCCACCGCCGACGATGATCACGTCAAAAATTTCGACCTCCATCTTTGCAGGTAATGGGATTGACTATTTTTTACCCATTTACAAAAGCATTGGGAAGTCCATTAATACTTAAGTTCTATGGCCATAAGATTCGGCATCTCAAAAGTCAGTGTTTGACGACACCACTTTAGGCAGCAATGCCATTTGGGGCACTCGATTGGCTACAGATATCAGCTAGATTCTTCATAGGGGTGTTGATGAAGAATCCATCATTCCAAATCAAGAAGGTCGCACTGCACCTTGTCAGCATAGGTCACCGACACGAATGATCCCTGCATGTCTAGCGGTATATATGACCACATCGATTCTGTAATCACAGCAATCGCACGCAACGAGAGTTGACTCCATCTATACTACTAGGCTATCTACAATTGTTCATCGCACAAGTAAATGTTGATCTGTTAAGGAAGGTAACAGTGCCCATTACAGATCTGCCAGCTGGGGCATCGACGCGATAAATGGGCTCTCTTGCAGCGGAATTCATCCTTTCCTGTCTCCTACCTATCTTAGTCTTTGGACCAAGCCTTTAGCCCGCCCAGCCAAGTGCTCGTTACATTACATGATAAAAGTGACAATGGTTCCCCCTTCCAGTCACCTATCGGATCAAGGACGATGAAATCAGCTCGTTTTCCCACTTCGAGGCTTCCGACCATATCCTCCGCAAAACAAGAGTAGGCGGCGCCGATATTGGTAGCCGCCAATGCTTGGACGAGCGTGAGCTTGAATTCCGCATTCATCGTTTCCTCTCCATACGGCCTATTATAAGATTTGCGAGTTGTTGCGTTGAAGAGATTATTCCACGGCGAGTGAGGAGCTGTAGGCGCATCGCTACCAATAGCGATCCTAGCCCCGTGGTCCGCGAACTCTCGATATGCAAAGGCTCGGCTGCATAGTTTTTGTCCGATGAGCGGTGTCCAGTCAATGTTCTGGACGGGATCGCAATGAACGGGCTGTATAGAGGCAGTAATGCCCAAGCGCCCAAGTCGCTTGGCATCTTCGGGCTTGGTGACTTCCAAGTGTTCGATGCGATGCCGTTTCCCCGTCGTACCCAGCGCCTCCAAGCCGTTGATTGCCAGAGTCACCGCCTCATCTCCAATTGCATGCATTGCGACTTGCAGCATGCCATCATCTGCCGCAGTCAGGACCTTGCTCAGAGCTTCTGCGGTCCAGTAGGGCTGTACGGACTGTCCAGTCGACTTGTACGGTTCAGAAATGGCAGCTGTGCATGAGTCAATGACGCCGTCGCACATGAGCTTGATACCCGCAACCCGAAAATCTGGAGACGTCAAGATGTTGTACGCTTCGTGAAGCTGACTGACACGTCTCACTTGCTCTACATCAGACTCTGTCGAGCCCGTCGGTGAGACCAAAAAGTGGACGGCCAAGCATAGGTTGAGCTCTCCCTTCTCATAAAGCTCTCGTAGTAAATTCCAGTAATCTTCATCGACCGCCATGTCAATGGCCGAAGTATAACCAGCGCGATTGTATGTTTCTATGGCTTCTCGGAGTCGGTCCAACTTCTCTTCGTGCGTCAAGCATTGTGTCAAAAACGGCCAAATAATGCCAAGGACAGCAGCATCTTCGAACAAGCCGGTTGGCAAGTGATCAGCAGTGCGATGAACTCGACCGCCAGGTATGTCCTCGTCGGGGATCTCCAATTCTCTCACAGCGGCCGCGTTACACCATACTGCATGTAAGTCATGCGACTCAATATAAATCGGACGTTCGCTGAGATCGTTCAGCATTTCGCTACTGACGAGACTTCCAGTGGCCGATTGCTTCCAGGCCTGAAACATCAAGCGTTGTGCATCTGGTTCCTCTTGTGCAGTTGATTGAATGACCTGTCGAATCTCCTCCAGGTTGGCACAATTTCCAAGAGAAATTTTGGACAGGGAAATCCCGAATTGGAGTAGGTGGGTATGCCCATCGATGAACGAAGACATGATACCGCGCCGTTGAAGGTCGACTATCTGAACTTCTTCTCCATGGCGTAAGAAGTTCTGGATGGAAGCGTCGTCAAGATGGCCAATGTGTTGGATAGTGTGGTCATTGACTGCCAAACAGCACAGTTCTCGTGCTTCCTTAGCGTCTGTGGTGATCATGCGGGCGTTCTGGATGAGAGTCCGCATATTGAGGTACCTCGTGCACTGAGAAACAACATTGTCAGTAACTGAGTAGGATGCTTAGCTTCGGAAGGTCTTACCACTTCAGCTTCGCCCGAGTCTCGTGATCTGGAGTTTGTGAGTGTTTCTACGGACCATTGAGGTGATGGGAAGGTGAGGAATTTATTAGCCCTGGTTGGGGCTGGTACAAACCCTGTCCCATCTGAGGCAATAACCGAAATCTGAAATGAACTTCTCTATTCTCTATTCCCGACTCGCCGACTTCGGGATCTCGTAGCAAGGTGACTTGGTTACACGAGGTGGCGACACATAGTTGGAAACTCGAATGTGCTAGGTACTTGGTTGAATCCCTGCTCATCGCTGAACTGAAATTGTGGGCCGCGAAACTGTTTTAGGCAAGTTTAGGAGCCAATCACACACGGCCTTCTTATCGTCTCGGCTCAAGTATTTCTCTTACTTACTGAGCGGCTAGATTCCTCGCTTCGTGCCATACTGTTATTTTTTGTGACCCTGATTCGGTAGTCAATGATATCTCAAGGCTGAGATGTAGCTACCATCGCCCTATTGGAATTTCGCTTGTCAATTTGGATGTGTCACTGATCTGAAGTGGGCGTAAAACGTTACCCGGCTGCGTCGGTTCTGTCCAACGGCTCATCTCGCAATCTGAATTCCCCGTCCGCCTGTTTCTCGCAATCTCTTGGTCATTTGAGCGATTTTTCAGCGGGTCTTCTGCCTTGAGGTTTTGTCGTCTTTAGCAGTCTCGCAAGACGCATTCAGTCGCGGTCGGCAAGGCTACGGAATCAGGGTGAAAAGAGCTTTGGAAAAGGATTACAGAACTTATTGTATTTAAAGATGGGCTTCTCAACTCCAACATAGTGCGTAATGCAAGTCTACAAGGGGCATTGACTCTCTTTCCTAAGCTCTTCCAGAGCCCTGAATACCCCCGCCTTCAGCCACAATCTTTTGGTATCTTACGTGCGATGCAATCCGAATGCGTCGTCCCCAGATGAGCAATGGGATGAAGAGCAAGCAAACAGAACTAGATATGCAGCCACAAATGATACAAATATTAGTGAGACTCATTGAGCTAAGCCATGGTACTATGGCAAAGGGTATTCCAATAGTCCCCGCGTTGCGGATGAACGTAATAAACACAAAGGAGTCCGCGGTAGCCTATGCCAGTCAGTTACTCTATAAATTCAACCCTGCTCCATGGCATCCTTCTTTACTTAGAGTGACTCACGGCTTTATAGGTGTCAATGATGATCGTGAAACTAACGTCCATCATGGAGCTCATGCCGAAAGCAAAACAAGCACCACCGATACTCGGATATATCCAGTGCATCCCCTGAGAGACTCTATGATTAGCCACTTTATTCACAATCCTTTTTTGATCACGCAATACGATTCATACTGACCAAATCTGCCGTAACACCAAATATTATCATTCCGGCGCCCATGATCAACGCAGGTAGCAAGAGTACGTAGAGTCTCATTTCAGGCTCAAAGATACCCCGGTTCTTACGTGCGAGCCTGACAACAACGTAGTCACCAAATATCCCGCCGTACAGACTGCCGATCATGTTGCCAACGAATGGGCCGATGAGCATGAGACCTACTCCAGCTGTGTTGAAGTTGTATGGTGGAGCAGCGAAAACGATGGAGTTTAAGCTTGTCAGCGCGACCAGAAATGCCACCGCATTGGCACATTGGATTGCTGAGAAGAGTACGTGCGGAAAGAGGGCCATCTTGAAAGGCGCAATGTAGCTGGAGACCAGTGGTTCGTCCGTTGTTGTGGACAAACGCATACGTTGACAGTACGTATTGGGCAGCGGGGTCGACTGCTCGGCTCGTTCGATGTCTTGAATGGGATGTGTCTCGAAAGGTTTAATATCGCTGGCAGAGTTTGCTGCGGCTGAGCCACACTTCGTTTCGTGCAGTTTATTCGCTATTTCCTCCAAATCTGGAGTTTCAGTGGTTGAGGATCCAACAGAGATGGGCACATACTTCGTCTCTTCGAAGAAAAACAAAAACAAGAGACACAAAAGCGTCAGGAAGATCCCGACAGTGTAGTAGGCCCATCGCCAACCCATCGAAGCTGCTTGGAGACCGGCGAGTGTGGGGGCGAGAAAATTCCCGATCATGACGGCGGTGATGTAAAAGCCGTTTGCTAGGCCTCGCTGATGAACGAAAAAGAGATCTGCAATCTGGCAAGAAAAATAGCGCGTTAGTGAACTTCAATTACCATTGGTGGTCAGTGAGGGCATATGTCAGTCATACCGTCATCTCGGCTATGGTCTCGTTTGTTGATCCAGCCAAGCCATAGAGTAGGTTCGTGATATACATCTCGGGAACCGTACGCAATCGGCTGCTCCACCAGGATGTTGCAGCCATTATAGCGGTCGATAAGATATATGTGGATCGTCGACCGTACTTCTTTGTGAAGGGAATGATGCAAAGGCATCCGAGGGCGAGTCCGACGACATTGAAAGAAACACCTGCGTTGAGTTCGTCGTAGGTCATATCCAGCTCGACCGTCATTTGCTGCCAGAATATCATCTGCATAGTCATTCTAAAGGCCGAGTGTCATTGGAATAGTCGCTCAATCGATTGAAATGCCCCATTTCTTGGGGCATAGATGGGGGAGAGGGGTCTCACGCAGCGAAGACTGCCACAGTGACAGCAAGCACGAACATAGTGTTGACGCATTTTCGAGTCAGGTTCCAATTCTTGAACATAGTCAGTTTGTCAGTTGGCAAAGTCGTAAACTAACAGAGAACAGCCGCAAACGACTTACCAAGGGGTCATTAGGGTCTGAGGTTGGGGTGGGAATTAGGACTAGAGTGGATTCTTCTTCTATGACAAACGATGTCAGTACAGCAAGTTGAGACAGTGGAAGGTCAAAAACTGACCTGACAAAAGTCTGGCACTGCCAGGAGGAAGGTACGTGTCTCCTTGGGGCCCATCCATGGTGCTGCTTGTTGACGAGTTTCTAACCGCTTGAGATTGTGTGTCGGTGTTATGCACGAGAGGGCCGTAGAATGAAACCTTCTCAACATGTGCCATGTTCGACAATCACAGTCCACGGCAATGCACTCTTTTGAATATCTCAGAACTCGGAGCCCAAGTATCCATTTTCCTCGTTAGAGCTTTAACTGGACGTCCACTTTTGGCTGCTGAATGATAAGCACTAACTCCACTCCAACTCGAATCTGGGGTATTAGCTAGCGACGACCCGCTTCCGAGAAGGGCGATAAAGAGCAGACACATCATTGGCTCTTAGACATACCCAAAGCGGTTTAATGTACCCGGCGAACCCTTGTCATTTTACCCTGGGGAGCGAGCTAAACAGAATTTCGATAATTACCGGATCGTGCCAGTGTAACTATGGAGTAGTCGAACCTTCAAATCCCATCTACTAATCCGTGTCTTGAGCATAGGAGACGGTCGCTCAAAAAAGTGCAATCTCCACATTTCTCCGTTTGGCTTGCTCATCAATGTCGTAATCATCGTCGCCCACCTCCCAAGCCTCATCCAGCATGCGTGCAATGTTATCTGCGTTCGCGGTTTTGCCGTAGGGTTGACAAATACCGCAAGCTCGGCGCAGCGACTCCATCCAGGAGGGCCGATGTCGCAAGATGGCAACTTCTAGCCGTGCCGCGACATATGGATATAGGAGCGAGTTAGATGTGAGCAAGTGGCTATACTCGGGTCGGTTCCGCGTGTCGCAGAGGGCATCAATGGCTGCCACAAGGCGACCGACGATGACCTCCGTGGATAGAACTAGCGATGAAAGACATGGGTCTTTCCTCAGTCGCCGACCAGTGAGGATCCCCGCAAAGCGATAAGCTTCCCATAGATGGATTTGAGGTATTTCTCCAACCTCTCCTGGCCATGAAATGAAGGCACTTTCTGAAGCTTCAGTCTGAATAGACGAGAAGATGTCGAGAAGTGACCTAGGCAAACTAGTAACTCCTTCAATCCCATCATCCTGCTCCGTATTGTTGGATCTCTTACCCTGTCTCAATCTCTGCCACAGCCATAGTGTCGTGGTGGAACGGCCACGTACGAACGTCGGTATGTCCATCACTGCCATGAGTTCAAGGGGAAAGTGGGTCTCAGGATTGTCTAGGACTGCAGACGCGTGCAAACTCCCTCCTAGGCCATAGACGGTCATCATTAGTTCCAAATGAACCGACCACGGTGTGCCTTGGAAAAGCTGTGTTGGTTAAAGGGAATTGTTAGAATATGAACGGCAATCAAATACAGGTCCTTCAGGGGTGCTCACATTAAGCGTGCAAATGAACAGCCCGGCGTACATCACTCCAACGTTGATGCTGCCGTCGTGATTCTCAAGCTGTTTACGGAATAAATGTAGCCCGCGAACGTAGTACTCCTCGAACAGTGATGAAGGATTGTCTGGGCTTGACACATAGAGATGAGTGGCTATGAGAATAGAGCAAAGGGCTTCCGAATCACTCGCAAGGTGGCGAAGGCTTGTTCGGAACCAGTCATCTCGATGAGTTGAATATAGAAGAAAGATGGTGCTTTGATCAACTGACAAGTTTTGTAAGCCCGGAATTCTTTCAGCCCATGGAAAATTGAGTTGACAATTATTTGGATCGAAGACGTACATCTTTCGTAAAGATCTCGATCCTGCTCTGTCCAGCCCGCCCATGAAAATCCCTCTAGTGAGGACATGGGGGATTGCAGGGACGTCTGGAAGGCCTCGGACAATGTACTGGGCATCTCAGGACCTGGAGAGTGAACCACTGAAATCGGCTTTTGGGGGACATTTGTGTTTCCTCTAAAATCTCGTTCTGGTGGGATTGCCAATTCGACCGACGAAACTATTCCACTCGATGGCTTTCTGGACGCACGCCTCATCGGCCTTGTCGTCTCTGTAGGATCGATATGGAGCGTCTCTGACGGTTCCAGCGCTCCTGTATACCGGCGCCGTGAAGCGATGCCGGCATCCCAACGCAATACGACATTGTAGCCTGCACATTTGATACCCTGACCGAGACATTGCAGACACTCGGGCTTGGTCTCGTCGCACTTGCGATGGCGCCGTTTGCAAGTCAGGCACCCGCTACGGGATCGTGACATGTTTGCAGAGAGCTTGCTTTCAGGTTATCGATAATGGGGTGGCTTTGCTGAAAGAAGGAGTCTTCGATGGGGAGGTGTCCAAAGGAGTTGAGTCAGTCGCTTGATGTCACAAGTCGGCTTGTGTTGTGTAGTGCGGTAAACCATGGGACTGCTTAGTAAGACGTCTTGTGGATGGCCGGTGATAGTGCGGCTTTCGTTGAGTTCCGGGTTCAGCTCCCCATGTGCAAAAGAAAGCATTTCAGTACGTGGGTGCAGCCGGTTGCTTTATGAGTCAAAAAGTCAACCTCGAGTTCACCCTTGTGTAAAGAGCCTGCAATTCTCGACAAGTTGTGAATTTGAAGCGAAATAAGCTGCCGCAAATAGTTGGGTGCGAAGAAAGTCTGTAGACAGGTTTGAATACTGCCGTCTCAGCCCTTCCGCAAGCTGATTCCGAGTACCTCGCATAGTGCAAGATAAATGTCGTCTCATTCGTTCTGGAGCATCGTTTAGATGAATTCATCACGCAAATGTGATTCCTCGTGTGACTGCTCCACTATGGTGGTGTCCAGCTCTTAGCTTTTTTATGATATCGTGTGAAACGTCAACGATAACTGGCCGAATGTGTTAGTAAGGTAGAAGAACTATCACCCGCATCATCCTCAAATTTCGCTACACGACTTAGTCATTGATTTGGAATGCGAACATGTCACATGTTCTTGTTCGCTTTCTCCCTCCCCTCCGTGGTTGCTGTGCCGGCTGAGTTGATCGAGCATCAGTCGGGATGCACATTGAGCACTCGAGGGGATATCCATCATCCCTAGAATATTGAACGGCCTATTCTGTCAGCTTGGAAGTCCATCGTGCTCTAGAAGGTCAACCACCGATGGCAGCAGCACTAAGATTACCAATTACTCCGGGCAGTGAGCGGTTTGACGCGTTCATGAGTTCTGCCCAAGTGTTCGCCATGGATTGAGCGTACATAAAGATGCCAAAGATACTAGGAACTGTGTTATCACTCAGACGGTAAATTTCGATCAATACATGAACATTTAAGACCATTATGTCGTGAGATGAAGAATTGATAGAATGTATGGGATCGGCCAACGATGAAGGGGGTAGGATGATCTCCTGAGCGGCGATGAGACATCGCTGATATAAACTGAGCAAAGAGGTCTCATAATATACCTGCATTTCTTCCATGTTCGTCGACTCAGTACACTGAAGCCCCTTGGGCTGGCCAGCACACTTTTGATACGTCGTGCAACAGATAGGAACCTTGGGCCTCATTCAACCTTTTCAGACAAACCCCAAGCTTATTTACGCAATTATTACAAGTCATCGCTCAAAGTTACAATTTCAGCTGGCCTTGACTTCAAGTCAACAAGGAAGGTATCAACGATTCGACGCTTATATACGTTCTCCCCACCTTTTGTCTGTAAGACAGGCGTGGGAAATGGGCTAAGTTCCTATGTCAGGCGGCAAGCCCAAAGCCCTTTTCGAGCTCATCCTCTTGATCTAATGCTAACATCTACGTAGACACAACGCCATACCTAACCAAACCCATCGTCGCCCCGAGTAAGACCGCCAACGGCGCTGCCAGCTTATAATACCGTCCCCCGACATACGCAGTAGCGGTGACAACGACCCACCAAGGGTCGTCACCTAAGCTTCTCCCTGACTGAAAGCCCTCGTCAAGGAACCCAACCTGCCAAATCCGATAGACTGCAGTGTAGATCAGCCCGACAGCAGAGGCGTTTACACCCCGCACCATGGCCTTCACCCAGGGCCTGCTCCGCAACGCCCCCCAAACACCCATTGTGCCGTGAACGAGAACCAGCCCTGGGGTGAAGATGCCAGCAAAGGCGATGGCGGCGCCTATGATAGCAGAATGACCCGCGCTGACCGCGGTCAGGCCGCCGAGAAAAACAGCAAAGTTGAAGTTGGGGCCAGGGAAGGACTGCGCAATAGCAAGACCGATAAGAAAATCCCTCGGAGATACCCAGCCCTCGGCCACAATGTACTCCCGAAGTAACGGAATGACTACAGGGCCGCCGCCAAAGATAATGGTTCCCGCAAGGTAGAGATTAGAGAACAGACTATAAAGGACTGGAGGATCTGGGATGATTCCTCGAATGGCCATCACAGTGATGAAAGTGGCGAAGAAGGTTGCTATGATAGCAGCGCCGGTTTTCCAGGAAAATTGCAGTTGGAATTCCCTTGGAATAATCCGTGGCTCGGACCCAGCTAGAGAGCGGCGTGCATCGGCTTCCATAGGCGGCGCAATCGGACCCTGTTCGGCGCGCGAGGTACTGGCGACCTGATGCTCGGATGGTGAAGGCCGGAGAATGGCAGGTGAGATTGCCGTGTGGCCAGCGTTTCTGTCTTGCGGCGTGGACGTTCGCCTACTTGATGGGAGGTGAATCTCACCGCCAACATCCACACTCTGGAGGGTTGGGATAGATGATCCACCTTGTCTCTTGCCGAGTAACGCTCGCATCATCTCTCTGGCCCGCACCGCCGGCTTTTGAATCCAGCGGTAGTCGTGTACGATAGCCGAACAGCCCGCAGCACACATGAGTACTGGAAAGAACCATATCGCGTTATACATTATGCCCGCTGCGGCAGAGAGAAACACGAGTGTCCTTGTAAGCTTGTCATTGATGCTTTTGTCCGAGAGCTCCACGGCTGCATGGGCGATGATGCCGACAGTGGCAGCGTTGAGGCCGGAAAGAAGTGCATAGACTGCGCGCGGGAGACTTGACCCGATATAAGAAACGCCCAAGGAGAGGCCGTACATTCCTAGGGCACCGGGTAAGCTGGGATGCGATCATTAGACGGGTTTGCGATGGTGACGATTATTAAGGAGTCCCGAGAGCACATACCTCCAGATCATGAAGGCCAGGATGGCGCCGAGAAGGCCGTCTTGGATGAGATTGATGCAATAAAGCATCTTGGTGCTAGCCGGCCCAGAAAGAGCTTGGGAGATGCTGAACAGCTCTCGATACTAGGGTTCGCATAATATTAGCAAGTGAAAGCGATGGTTCGCGAATGGTGGCAATTAAAAGTCGTACCATTTGATCATCGATCCATTGCAGACGTCTCACGAATCGATCATGGAACTAATCCAGCCCACATGTAAGCAGCTGGCCTCAATGACATGGAGATAGCGAGGTTATGTGTACTATTTTGAAATGCACTGGTGGCCCTCCAAACGCCGTCAATCCCAGATGCCAATTAACCTTGAAGGTGCCGGCCATACGCGCTGCCTTCTCTCGTAGGCTTTGCTCCCAAGCTGGAGCACGCATTTCTTGAGCAGCGACCAGGACAAAGTGAGTAAAAGTTTGCGTCGGGCGCGATCCAACGCCTTCGCGAAGCACACAGTTGAGTCGGCCAGGTGATGCCCAAAAGAAAAGGCGTCAATTAGGACGAGGTACGTCACGATAGGGAGAGTTGTGTCTTCACAATCTCACCTTTACGCACATCGTCTTCACCAGCATTCGGTGGCCCGATCTGTCAAAATTTTGGCGCAGCGCACGTCATATCCCGTGACATCTTAGCGCATGCCAAGATAAAGTCTTATGTTCACTTTCCACAGAATAGAGTATCAAGAATCTGAGATGGGCGCCAGGGAACGTGCATCTGTCATCTTTCTGTAAGTAGGACTACCTCTAGGTAAGTCCGAATGTAAGGGAACACGACACAGTGACGCTCATAAAGAAGACCTCGTCTGTTCACCTCTTGCGCGATGTGATTGGTTGTGAATGCACTCCACAGACGAACGGGTCTGTGGACGATAGCTCGGAGACGGGCATGACGTCACAACCAGGCGATTTCAAGTTCTCCCACGATGTATTATAAATGGGAGTAAGTCGTTTCTACTCTCCTATACACTTCACAGAGCAGTATTTATCTACATGACTTAGGCAGGTATACCGAGACTGTGAGAATAACAAATCATGAATATCGACATCCCGAAGCTGGTCAAGGCCGCTGTGCCGGATTCCGAAGGACGAAATGCGCGCATCGTCTCGGACAATTGGAATCGCCCCGTCCACAGAGATCCTAACTTCCTGTCCAAGGACTTTCCAAGAGGTCGACCGAAGCTGTATATCAGTGCGGAAAGTGAAGAGTTTGACCAACTCACGCTAGACGAGTGGCGCGATGAGGACTTCGATGTGGAGTACCTCCCAATGGGGGGCAACGCGAAAGAGTACCGGGACAAACTCCGATCGTTGAGCAAAACCAATATGGGCCCTTGTGAGACATTTGGAATCGTGGGTTAGTAAAGTGCCATTACAAAATCAAAGAGAAGATACAAAAGCTCACTCAAGCATTCGAAAGCATACGGAGATGCCGCAGCTGCCTGTCTTGAACACTATCATGTCATGGACAACAATCCAGAGTTCAAGCTGGGTCTTCTCATTGCATACTACCCAACGGCGATCCCCGATCCCAAGGGCCACTTTCCTAGCAGCATTTCCGCTCTTGTTCATCTCGCCGCGGGGGAGGAGATTGGTGTCACAAAACAGAGCCAGATGGTGGGGATTCAAGGTAAGCGACGCACGACCCGAAAAAGGGTGGAAAATGGCATGGGAATCGGAGGAATGCTGCAGCTAGCGTATCCGAGTTACACCTACGATGCGGAGCCTGGTTTTGCAGAGCACGATTTGGACGAGTACCATCCAATTTCGGCTGAATTGGCATGGAGCCGAAGCCTTGGTGCGGCGAAGAAGGCGTTCAATAATCATGCCGACTTGGAGCTCGTGTTGGAGCAAAATGTGCAGGGTAAGCATTTCCCTTACTTTCTGGGCCAATTGCTCTCAACTGCGTGGACAGATGAGCTTGCGATGTCCCCGATGATCTCGGCAAAGCGGATCATGGCCCAAGACTCGAAGCTGACCTATTTGCAGGCAAGTTCTTCACTCGCAACCTAAACCAAACCCTTTCATCGTATACAACACACAAGACCCCTCACGTCACTCACATTCCGACATTGACCGGCGGAGTCGGAGCGCAAGAGCTGGAGGCCTTTTACAAGCAATTCTTCAACAACCCCCCGTCAATGAAACTTACGCTTATTTCCCGCACTATCGGGACTGATCGTGTCGTTGATGAGGTTCACGTCCGTTTCAAACACACGGAAGAGATGCCATGGATTCTGCCAGGCGTCCCAGCAACAAACAAACGGGTCGAGGTGCTTGTTGTTAGCATCGTTGGGCTGAGAGGAGGCAAACTCTACCACGAGCATGTGTATTGGGATCAAGCGAGCGTGTTGGTGCAAGTTGGCTTGCTAGACCCGAATCTTGTGCCAGAAGCAGGGCGCAAGATTGGCGTTGAGAGACTCCCCGTTGTCGGTAGAGAAGCAGCAAGAAGAGTTCTGAGAGGGTGGGATGACAATGAAGGGGAGGCCGATAATGAGCTTGTGCCGGGCTGGCATGAAGAAGCGGTCGGAGATGAAAAGACAGCCAAAGGCAAGCAGAACAGTGGAGGGACGATCAAGGACCAGAAAGGGGGTCAGAAGGAGGGACATCCAGCCGCGAAGCCGTTAACGGAAAGGCCGAAGCCTACAAGTACAACATAGGACTGGCCTTGCTTGTGTTACACGGACCCTATTTCACGCGGGATGAGGAATTGTATCGATACTCAAAGTCTCATTACATTCTCCTTTGCACGTAGGCTTCAACCTACACCAATTAAGTCATTATGTTGTATTTACCGTTCGCGGGTGATCTATTTATCGGCAGCTCGATGATGCCAAGACCAATCGATGGCATTACAGCAGAAAATAACCAGGTCGCGTTCGGACAAGTTTAAACAGGGCGTTATCGAGCGCTCAGCAACAAAACCTTAGATAAGAGATCATACCTTAATCCATCTCAAGGGCCCGGATGCGTTGCTTACATCATCATTGTGATGCTTATCTCTCTCTCCGATACGGAGGATGCAGTCCAGAGTACGTAATCCTTGATACATCCAATGTTAATGCCGGCGTGTCGGGCTGCCTGCCCCGCATCTCCACCCACCGCATCCCCCAATGGGCGTAACCAAGCAGCCACGCATCCAAGTCACACGAGCCCGGCACACACTCGCTGGGAAGATCCCTCCTCCTTGGCTCCCTGCCCGAACCCATGGCCGGGCAAGTCTGGATTCCTACAAAGTTCTCCCCGCTCCCGTCCGCTGAACCAACTGCAACCTTTCTTTCGATTCATCTACGGGATATACTTACGTCGGAAGACATCTTCGCCGTCACTCATACACTTTGCTGCCGTCAACAGTAAGGCCCCATCAAACTCGTGTCTTACTTTCTCCTTGTGTTGGCCTTCCCATCACAGGCGTCTGCTTGCTTCTCAACTCTTGACATCCTCATCTTTTTTGTCAAAAACCCGCCTTACCTGCCGCATGGATCGTTCAAGTCGGAATCAATTTGGTGGCAACACATATTGTTGCCTATATTGGCAAAGAGTGCTCAGGAGCTCAAGTATGCCGGATGTGAGTCGCCTTCCAAGTTCCGTGTCTCTCTATAGTCCTAGATTGAATGCCGCTAAACTGGGCATGCTGCAGAGACTCCTACTTCGTCAACGCCCACCGAGAAAATTCCAATTTACAAGTACATCGCTTGAATCTATTTGAGCCTCGCATCCACAACCCTCGAAACTCCCGGAGAACATGCCTCCCAACCGAGTCAGAGTTGTCAAGGGCTCTTGTTGGTCCTGCAAGAAGCGACGCATCAAATGCAGTCTCTCTAAGCCGACTTGCCGCCAATGCGCTGCCTCCGGCACCAAGTGCGACTACAATAGCCGACTCATTAGATGGAGCACACGGCCAACTCCTCATGTTCCTCCAGCCTACTGCATCCCACGAAACGACTTGCACTTGACCGTTTACCTTGAAGTGTGCGAGCGGCGCGCTCTTGACTATTTCCATCTTCGCGTCTGGCCACTTCTCTCCACGGCAGAGGAACCGTGTGCTCCTCCGAGTTCGGTGGCTTTGGAGCACCGCGTCGTTTTGCTCGCTGCTTGTTTGCTGTCTGACTCTCACAGGCTCCTACAAGACGGCACGCATGACCACGATTCTCTCAGCAAGAAGCGGCTGGAATGCCTGGCTGCCGTTCGAACCGAGATAGACCGCTGCTGCGTTGAGCCCAAGAGGGATGGACCCACGATCGGGCTCTTATTTGCCGTCATCCTCTTGTACTTTGATGACGGATACATGGGTTGCATCCTCAAGTCAGCCTCGACCTCTAGTCATTACAATGGCATCCTAGCTATCCTCGAGCATTTAGGTGGCATCGAGGCCGTAGTGTCGACAGCCCCGGAGCCGCTGCACATGCTGCTCTCAGAGTTCGCGACGACGGACCTCACAACATCCATGATTCAGGGTAAGCCCCCGGCATTCCCTCCTGACGTGTGGCACCGGCTCGATAAGGGCCCTGTTTGGTGGGGTCGTGACCCGTTGGGTAGATGCTCCCTGGCGTCCGTCTTTCGCGAAATTGCCAAGATGGGCCTGTATCTACAAGCGACGACAAGCATGGCCGAGGATCTGTCTATCGAGCGCATCCGCGAATTCGAAGCGTCCCTTCGTCCAGTCTATGCGCCACTGACTGTCGCCGATGCTGACGGCCAGAGCCCCTCCGAGGTATCCGACTGCTCCACGTCTGCAACAGAAGCCGAGGCTGTACATGCATTCACCCTCGTCCGCATCTTCCAACACACCGCCTTGCTGTACCTGTATAGAGCCATTTGTGGTCTTCCGACCCGTCACCCGCTTGTGCAGCAGCATGTCAAATCCTGCCTCGCTTGCATATTTGAGATTCCTCGGGAGGCAAACAATCTTAACTGCATCGTCTTCCCGCTGTTCATCGCCGGAGCCCACGTTTCATCGGCAGAAGAGCAAAAGGCCGTTCTTGACATGGCTGACGTGATATACGATGATATGCGATTCGCTTCGATC